ATAACACTTTGACTACATCAGACGCCACATTCAAGCCTCCATCATCCACCCAGTAGCACAGTGGAATCCACCAGTATAGAGCTGATATCAGGATAAGCCAGGATCCAGTGATCCAGGGGAGTGAACACAGAATCCTTAGCTATTTATACCAGGAGACTTAGTAGTTGTGGCCATCAAAAACAAGCCTGAATTTGTAAGCACTGCAACAAGAATGGATAAGAACAGCATACATTTACCGTAAAAGAAAATGTGTTTAGATATTTATTTTTAATTTAGGCAGATTTGGTTCTCTATAGACAAGAGGTTGAGCCGAGCGGATTTGAAAAAGTGCACTGTGCAATGTGCCAGCCATACAATATTGTCTGCATGAAGCTTCTTCTGTGTTAATATGACTAATAGCGGCAGTGTAGTCGTTATTATTTCTACTTCCGATGTAGACAAATGCTTGCATTAAAATTAAGCAAGTTAACACGAATTCAAATGCAAAGAGACTCAACTTCGACTAATGGTTTAAAAAAACGAACCTAAATTGGGAGTGAGCCACACAAAGATTATTTAATTTTCCATTTTAAAATGCCACCACCAGGTGGAGTACATTTAACCCTGTCTGCGCCTGTATAAAGTTGACTTGGGGAGCAAGCAGCAGTACGTTTTACCTGCAGGGCAAAGCTAAATGTAATGACTGAACAGCTTCGTATCTGACGTCGATTTGCTAGTATGAACGGACAAAACAGCTTTTTCTCTGTGTTCTGTTTTTTTTTAATACATTTTATTGGACCAGAACAGACGCCAGCCTTTTAATTTTGTGATAAACGTGAAAGTATAAAGTTCAAGGTTTTATATGCTTTTTATATTTCAGAAACATAACTCTGGCTATTAATCTAAGCTCGTTTGTAATACTTCAACACTTTTGTTTCGTAGGTTAGCAGCCAATCAGCGCAAGAAAAGTGGAGCGCAGAAACAAGCTACATCTTAGTGCGCGCTGACCTTGGCTGTTTTTTTTGCCTACAGCATGGTCAGTATTAGACATCTTACTGAGAATTGAACCTTGGTAAATAGTTAATGAAATAAGGCTGACTCAACCTAGCTTATTCTTTAGCCAAAAAAAATCTGTCCACTTGTCGCTCTGTTTAAGATCAATATTATTTTAGCTTTATTTCCTTCATTAACTTGAACTATTGAACTACAATTGAGTAGCAGGCATTTGCTGCCTTTTCCCCCAAAGCATGGTCACTATTAGGCTTCATTACTCTGCCTAATGCTTTTGCCTCTTGCTTCTGTTATCACCAATTATTTTCTTTAATGTAGTAATAAGGTTTATCTTTTGATGTATGATACTGCAGATGATTTTTCAAAGCCCCAAAAATCAAGTACACTGTACGAAAGAACAGTTCAAAACATTCTGCTATTGTTTCCTTGTTTTCAAATGAGACGTTATTATTTCAAGTCTCCGCTGTTGCTCAGTATGTTAGCTCTCAGTAAACCATTAAAAATTTATGTGGAAGAGACAGAAGTTAAACTGTTTTATGTTGTTTGATGTTGAACGGATGGTGCACGCCTAACGTTTAATTGTTTCAATTGAAGGTTTCTGTTCAATTTATTAAAAAAAAAAGGGAAATACGCGTGCTGGTTAGACTCAGGGTGGGTCTCTACGACCCTAATAATAAATCTGTTACAGAAAGTTGATGGATGAGAAAAGAAAGGCATGTGTTGTTAAATTATAGATCTTTAAGTGAGATTATTTTTAATGGATGGGATATAAAGAAGACGTGATCTTGGGAAAGTTCATAACTGTATGTACCAAATTGTGCTTCTTTGAGCTAAATGACATCCTGAGAAATCACATGTACTTCTCAACTTGTTGAAACCAGGTGTTCGAGGAGTTTGACTCTTAACTGTGATAATGATGATGATGATGATTAAAATTATTAAGTGTATTATTATTATTGTTGTTGTTCATAATAATGATGACATTTTTTTTTGAAAACGTTGCCGCTTTTGTCTGTACCAAACGCAGTTTTCAGTTCACAATCAGGCTGTTAGACTTATTATGTGCATTCCCAAGGTCTGTATTGTGCTGTCTAGTACAAATAATGACAATACGATATTTCATTAACCTGTCAGTCAGATCAGGGTTGTCAGTGGGTTGTTCTTGCTACCCAGCATGCTGTTAGAAGTGTGTGTGTCCATGTTGCCTCATTTCCTGTGTTTGAGACTCAGTCGAGAGAGAGAAGAGAGAGACAGAGGGGGAGGCTGGTTCCTGATACCGAGACACGGAAAGGCAGAGGCAGGGGAGGGCGAGAGAAAAGAAAAGAGAGGAAGACAGATAACAGGGGAATTACATACATACAGGCAAACCTACAAACGCAGGGACAAGAAGCAGAGAAATAAAAAATACAGCCTCCCTCATTGTCACACCAAATTGGAGCCAAGCAACGACATATACCCCAGATCCATGGGTTAACAGGTAAGTCTCTCTTGGCTTGTGTAGTGATCCTCCTATTCATCATTAGTTTCGCTTTCTTCTATTGCTTTCAAGTGTTCATTGAATAATGTTTGGGCAATACAAATCTTAATTCACCTCCTCGTCAATCTGGACACCTTTACTTTTAATTCTGCGCTTCTACAATAGTGCGCATTTAAAAAAAAACGGTACAGTATAGCCTAATGTATCCTGGTCATAAGTTAAGTGGCAGCATGAGTTTTGAGGACGCTTCGGTTTATACAATAATATATCCTGTATGGAATCATAAGATTGTTTTGACAGCTGTTTTGTTGCGCTGTATTCATGACATAGTGAAGAAACTGCCTACCTACTCACAGCCTAGCAAAGAAGTAGAAAGAACAGCACATCGCCTATTCTCTTTGCTTTTCTTCCACTTTTCTTAGAAAACATTGCCAAATGCACAAAAATAGGAAATGAATACGATTGCCCGTCTGGAGCTCGATTCTTTGGTACAGCTTGAAGGTGTATATATTCCGTTTAACCAGAGATCTGCTTGTCGCTAAGCTGGTGTAGGCAAGGGATTTGAATTGGTCTCACCCGACGCCTTCGCGTCTCGTCCGAGTTTTCTTTTAAACCCTTAAAATACAGCCTTATAATACAAGATTAAACCCCGTAACGCACTTGTTTGCCTGCTGAAACAGCCGTTCGCGATCAGGCAAAAGTGTTGGTAGCCGTCGCTTGGGGTTGGTGATATTTAAAATTAAAAAGCTCCAAGACTGGTCAGGGCTTAACCCCCCCCTCCCTCCCTCGTCTAACCTCCAAAAGGGGAATTTCTCCAGCTGGAAATTTCTGCTGCGTCAACACCCTACCCTAGTATACCAGACAAGGGAAGGGGATTTTTTCTGCTTTTTTTGTTATTATAAGTGTTGTTATATCGCCTCGCATCAAGCGATTCTTCACTCAGCACTTCCAGGGACTTTTAAAGAAGTAGCGTCGGAAGTATTACAGGAGGATATTATAACTAAGGCAGATTGTGATTCGAGGCTGTTTTTTTTTTTTGCTTTGGCTTTTTTGGGTTATTATGTAGCTTCTCTGTCCCCTCAAACTGGTCAGCTCCGTTTGCCTCCATTTTATATTCAGTACAGTATAAATGAAAAGAGGGGAGCAGACCCTCTTATTTCAAATACTGGCAATGCACTCGTCAGAAAGAACGCAACACGGTCGCGAGTCTGATACTTTAATTGATAGAACTGATGAACTATGTTGCACGTTATGGTCTTAGCATGGTTTTGTATTGACATGTCATGAAACCTGAATGAAAGAGTAAAACGGTAAGAGAGACTGGTTACCCTGTCCTGAATGTACGTGTTTAGAAAATCAAGGCATTTGTAATGAACTTTCCTTGAAAGTGTGTTTCTTACAGTTTCTGAAGGATAGAGACCTCTTTAGAGGTTATCCACTAAGTCGACTTCTGGAGAGTAGGGAGATTCTGAAGAATTGTACGTGAAACAAGATTCGTTGTCAGCCAGAGAATCACATTCATGGCACTAGTGAGCTCTTATTAATAATACATAATTATTAATTAAGAAATGTATAAAAGGCTAGATGTCTAAAATTTTTATTTTTTAGACAATTCTTCATCAACCTTTTTTTAAAATATACTGTTTACATTGCCCTTGAGTTGATGATGCTTAAGGTTAACGGGGGTCAAAAAAAGAACCAACTATGAAATGCATTAAAAGAGAAAACTTTTTAGAGCAGTTTAATTGCAAAAACTTCAGGTTAAAGCCTTGTGTCATGGGAATATCGCTCATTAGAAAATAAATATTCATTCCAAAATGTGTAGTAGTTTTTTAATACTCCTTTTGCAATTTCTTCAAACTGTTTTACCAGTGTCTGTCCATTTTGTAAAACCAGTATGTTTAAAGGTTTTCCTTCTCCATCTATGTGGTAAATATTACTATATATTATGCCAGTATTAAATCCTTTTCTTACAGTGGGATAATCTATATACCTGTATGATGATGTGGAGAAACAAAACAAGTGTGAATAATTTGAGGATGTCCATTTGTTCTCGCCATCATATTTAACTCCATGTGGTATAGACATCATGTGCTGAAATATCTTACTTGTGTGTTGGCTTATGTGCCCTTTAGTCCTCAGCGTGATGTCAAAAGATATTTGAATACGGCTGTACACAGAAACAAAGCAAAAAGATTAGTTTAGACTTAATAATGATTGGCAATAATAAGATGCATACATATGCAGTCTAGGGACTTCATCTGTCAGGTTTCCTTTTAGGATGTGGCAGTAGAAAGATAAATCTCCCATTTCTGAAGTCTTTGGTTTTCTCTGAAATGCTGAGAACTTGGGGAAATTTCTTTTAAAACTGAAACTCTGAAGGGGGGAAAAAAATCTGCTGTGTTGCTTGGTTGTGCTGCGTTTTAAAAAATCACAAATACTCCAGGGCTGCTATCTTATTGCTTCACAATCTTTTCAGACTAGCAGCCTGATGTTTTGCCTTTTTTGTTGGCAGACTTCTCCACTGTATGTTTCTTAATTTGAGACATTCTCCATTTCCAAGCGATTAGTATGTCCCCATGGCTGTCTCCATCTGTACCCCTAAGGCAGTTTGTTGTTGTATCAAGCTGGTCTGCAAAGCCTCACAGTTAGACAGGTAATGATCACGTTTGGGCCCACCAAATGAACAGGCAGTGGATTTTTGCTAACTTTTATCCTGAAAAGTAGCAGTTAAATGTTCCACTATGTAGCAAACTGTTTTTATCCCACTGGCTTCTATGTGTTCAGCTTCCTGATCCTTTCCTGAAATTTTCTTGTGGTTGAAATAGATGAAAAGAGAAGGAATTTGATTCTTTTAAAATATCCTAGTCTTTGTTGGCCAAACTGCAGAGCCTACCCAACTCATGTTGTGATAGGAGGTATCTCCACTGGACAGGAATAATCATGTATTTTGGACTGGAGATGTTATGAAAGCTTAATGGTCTCCACACAGATAGTATTACATGGGCTCATGCTTTTTATTTGGAAATTCTGATATGCCAGAAAATCAGTAAGCCTTTACATTGAATGGTATTACTGTGATTATATGTTATTGAGAATGAGGAAAAAATGCAAGAATGTACACATGACATAACTTTTAAAGAACTATAGGATTTCTAAACCTTAGCAACATTAAAAGAGAAGGTCCTATCATTATTCACCATCGTTTTGCAAGGGCATTGTTACTACATGATGTTTTTCTCTGGGTTTTTTGGTAACTGTGCTGTATGCTATTAAAATAAATTGGACTGTGTTGTTGTATAAAGTATGTATATCTTGTACAGACTGACACTCAAGGGGTTACCTGCAAAATTAGTCAAAAAAGTGTGTATCTGGTCACAGATTGTGGAGGTGTGCTATGCGTAGTTCTGGACTCGTAACTAGAAGATTGTGAATTCAAATCCCAGATGAGACACTGCTGTTGCACCCTTGAGCAAGGTACTTATCTCTCAAATTGCTTTAGTTAAATACCCAGCTGTGTAAATGGGTGCAAATGTAAGTTGCTTTGTATGAAGACATCAGCCGATTTAGTTGGTAAATAAGGCTACCGTTGCTATTATGAAGGAGTTTCACATGCAGGTGGACCTTCTGAGCAGGTGTTGTTTTGTTTTGTCAACAGTATAGGAAGAGTTGGGCTTTTACTGTGGGAAGGGTTTTCAAGAATATCCAATATATTGTTTGGAGAGTCTACTATTCACTGAGGACATGGCAGTAGAAGAAATCCGTTTAAGACCCACTTACATATACATTAGAATTTCCATTTAGAAAGGCAGGATAGGAGCCACAGTAGAGGGTTAAATAGAATTTGTTGGCTAATGTTTATTGAGGGTGGTTGTGGTTGTTAATCAGAACATTCACACGAAACGAAGGGTTTGGGGGAGGTAGTTGTGGAGGAGGGGGGTGCTGGCTGACACGACTCACTGTATGTGGGTGGAGTTTTTTTTGTGCAATCATGGTTTAAGTCTGGAGTGCTTTGGTTTAGTTGTGCAGTAACAGGTTGGAAATGTTGGTTAGCTGTTTTAGGAATGCAGACCAGTGTTGGTTTTTTATTTAGTATCCCTGTTTTTGAATGGAATGTTAAATGGATACTATTTTTTAAAACAAAAAAAACACCTTACTTTTAGGTTAGCATTGTTTCTGTATTGAATCCCCAAAAGAGTGAATTAATTAACTTGTACACCTGTCTGGTTACTTTCCTACATCGATTAAATGATGCCTCTTACGTAAGGTAATATTTTAACAATTTCTTAACTGTTTTTTTATGATTGTTTTTATGTCCTAAATAAGTAATTCTGTAATTTCCCAAACAATTGTTTTAGAAAGAGGCATAAAAGCCAGAAATGAACTCTCTTTGTTGAGAGAAAATAATACTATTAGGATATTCTAACATGGTTCAATTACTGATTAAACTCAGCAATATGCTTATAGAAAGAAATGTAATGATTTGGTAGTCATTTTCTGACTGAATGGAAAGCTTTTTATCTGAAGGACAAACAATGAGTTCTTATAAAATGTAGAAAAATATATCTCATAAGTTCTTATTGCACATTCCATTGTCTTTCCAGTAACCTTTTAATGAGATGCTATACTTAACTTTTACTGATAAATTAGCATGTTTTCTAGCAAATGATGGTAGTTAGCGATTTGGGGAAAAAAGCACTATGTATTATTTCCTTTAATTATCCCCATTTTAAAATAATTACCATAGGTTATTTTATATCTCTGGTTTGATTCTGGCCTTGGATGTTTGTTTGTATGGAGTTTGCATGTTCTGAACTTGATTGTTTAGGTACACCTGTTTCGAGAGATTCGATTTTCATTGGTTATTCTAAACTGCAACTTTCTACGTGACCCAGAGTGCCGTCTCATCCAGGGGGAAGAGCTGTTGTGCTGTTTTGTGCTGTTAGTTCCTCCTCACAAGCTGTACTTTAGGATAGATCCTAGCTTGCTGTGACCCTCAC